ATGCAAGCGGGCGGGGCGCCAGAAGGGAGCCCCCTCAGAAACTGAGAAACTACTTGACTGGGCGCCCAAGCGACCGACCATCGACAGTCGGACCTTTCGTGGGCGCAGTCTGCGGCGCCGCCTCCCAAATAGCTGCGAACCAGCGTGGACCCCAAACAAAAAGGATGGCACTGTGGATGCGCAAGCTATGTGGTGCAAATTATGTGGTGTACGCTGTGTGGTCCAAGTGCGTGTTGCCAACTCGTGAGTGGTCAACTACACTGCTCGCGCAATCATGCCGCCCTTCCACTGGCAATTTGGCTTGGAAAACCCATGCGGCGGCGATCGCGATGACTGCCTGGCCATGGCTGGCGCATCTCTGCGGCCGCGCTGGCGCGCGCCAACTCGACTGAAGAGCGGCCGTTTGGTTTAGCACAACCGATGCGGCTGCCATGGCACTTACAGATGACAACGTCCCAGCGCGTGTCAAAGGACGCGCTGGCGCGCGGGCATTTCAATGCGGGTTGGTGGCTCGGGCGGGCGCGGCAGCATGATGATGCGACAACGGCGGCAACGATGATCATAGTATCGATGATGGTGGCGATGATGACGATGACGACGACAAGGTCAATGACGGCGCCGATGCTGGTAACGCCGATGACGATTATGATGTCCATGTGTCGATGATGAGGGTGCTTGAGTGATGATGGCGGCAATTGCGGCGATTGCCGACGACGGTGACGCAATGTGGCGGCGCTGATGCGGTAAGTGTGAGGATGTGCGCGCGTGCGGAAATCCCCAAACCCTGGCGAACCAAACCTCATCAAAAACATGGTTTTGAACTGATTTCGACATGCTCGCGTGGCGGCGAGCGCGTGTGGTCCGCATTGTGTTATTCGATACGGATTCGTGCACTTGGCGCATGCTGGATCAACGCGGATGCACCTCGTGGTGACATGACGGTGCCAGGGGCCTCCCAACTGGGGTCCGAACAAGTGGGGTTGGCGGATCGCGCCGCATCGCCAATGCACCTACACTGCATCGGCGCTGCATCGGCGACGTCGGCGATGCATCGGCGATGCCGGAGTGGAGAAAGTCGGGCCCCACATCGAGTTGCATCCCCGATGCATCAGCGATGCAACGCGATCCATCGACCCCATCTACTCTGACCCCATCAGGGAGGCCTAGAAGTACGGGTTCTGGGTGAGATTGCTAAAATCAAATGGTTCCCCATTGGTTTCACGAAATACGCGCGGGCAGACAATTTGCAAGCTTTGCACTGGAAGCCCGAGTTGTGTTTGATGCTTTTATGTTGCATTCCTTGCAACACTGGTGTTTGGTATGCTTTCGACATGTGCGCACGCGTGCGTGGACTTTGTGCTACTCGTTGTCAACGAGGGGCTCTTCAAAAACGATACTCTACGATAGACGCGTGCGTGCGCATAGTTATTTGACAGGGACGGGGGGGGGGGGGGGGCGATGCCCAGCGCCTGGAATGGTGTCAATTCATACGAGAACCTAGCGGCGAAGCAAAATCAACTTGTTTTAGCGTCAGCGGCTAGGCAAAAGGCGAGTGCGCTGGCGATAAAACCATAAACGGGGGTTCCGTTGGAGCGATCTGCGCCAACATGCATGAGGAGGAAGGACGCGGCCGAAGGAAAGCAAGAGGACGGGGCGGGCGGCTCAGGGGTCAGAACGCTCCCCGAGCGTGTGGCGCGGCCAGCCCCGCCGCTCGGCACGCAGCGGCTGCTGCGGCAACGGGCCGGGGGCGGCGGGGCCCGGTGGCGAAACAGAATCACATGTAACTTGTCGTGTGCCCCAGGGGTATCGATAACTCTGGGGAGAGGGAGGTGGCAGAATCTGTTTCTTGTCCGACGGAATCTATACGCATTCACTGCTCCCTGGTCAGGCCAATCCTGACCACAGCAGCGGCGGCGCAAACGCCACGCCCTCCTGGATTGGCCAAAAGGGCGTACGCACAACTCCTGGGTTCAGGATGGGCGTGGCCAATGAACAGAAGATATGTACAGATTTCGTCGCCCGACCTTTTGAACAGAGAGTGTACATGTTGCAAGCTAGAGACGGCAAGGAAACGGCAACGGGCGGCGACGTGGTGAGACCTCGCCAGACCCACGCAGCGCACGATGCGGCAACAAGGCGGCAGCTGGCAGCGACGTGGCAAAGTCTGGTCCATCCCACACAGCGCACGACGCGGCGACGTGGCGAAACCTCGCCAGACCCACCGATCGCACGAGGCGGGAACTGGCGGCAACGTGGCGACATTTCGCCTGACCCAACCAGCGCACGAGGCGCCAACGAAACGTCAACGGGCGGCAAAGTGGCGGAAGCTCGCTGGACTTACCCAGCATATGAGGCGGCAGCGAGACGGCAACGCGGCATCAACAGGCGGCAACGCGGAGAAACCTCGCTGGACCCACCCAGCGTACGAGGTGGCAACGAGGCGCCAACGGGCGGCAGCGTGGCGAAACCTCGCCGGACCCACCCAGCGCGCGAGGCGCCAACCAGGCGGCAACGGGCGGCAACGCGGCGACACCTCGCTAGACCCACACAACGCATGAGGCGGCAACAAGGCGGGAACGAGACGACAACGTGGCGAAACCTGGTCAAACCCACACAACGCACGAGGCAGCAACGAAGCCTCAAACGGCCGCAACGCGGCGAAACCTCGCTGGACGAACCCAACGCACGAGGCGGCAACGACACGGCAACCAGCTGGCAATGAGGCGAAGCCTCGCCTTACCCACCCAGCGCACGAGGCGGCAACGAAGCAACAACCGGCGGGCAACGAGGCGAACATCTCTGGACCCACCCAGCGCACGAGGCGGCAACCAGGCGGCAACGGGAGGCGACGTGGCGGAACCTCGCCAAATCCACTCAGCGCACAAGGCGGCAACGACGCGACAACGGCGGCAACGGGCGGGCGACGTGGCGAAACCTCGCCAGACACACCGATCGCACGATCTGGCAACGAGGCGGCAACGTGGCGAAACCTCGCCAGGCTCATGCACACATTCAGCGTTTCGACATTGGGCGGGAAGGGGGGGCTGAGGGGGGGGTCTGGCTCTGGACCTCTGCTTCACGCGACTGTTTGCGGCACTGCGTCCTAGGGGGGAGGCTCCACCTACCCGAAAAAAGGCGCCAAAAACGGCCAAGATCTACTCCATGGGGGGGGGAGGTGCGAGGGCCCACGCCGATCGTTTTTTTCCCCGAAAGGCCTTCTGCTATCTGCGCAGCTGGGTGGCGCTAGTGCCATTTCAGCCTCCCGAAGGGCAACCTGGCACTTGCCACTTACGCTCGCCCACGTGGGCATGAGGCAGGAAAAAGAGCGCAACGCTGCTGCCCTGCTGCGTCGGCGCGCGGCGTGCACTGGATGCCAATAAGTGCCGCGCGGCGAAACGCAAATCGCCAGCGGGTTTAATCAGAAAGCGATCGCCGGGGGCCCCCCTCGGTGCAAGCACTGCTTTGGGAAAGACTCCTCCCTGTCACTGTCGCACCCCCAGGCGTGCCACCGGGGCGGGACGGGCCCTGGGCGGGCCAGGCCACGTGCCATTGGTGCCACCACTATGGGGAACACCAAAGGGGAGGAGGAAGAGGAGAAGGAGGAGGAGGAGGAGGAAGAGGAGGAGGGTGGAGGCGGATGATGATGATGATGATGATGAGGCGGAGGAGGAGGAGGAGGAGGGCGGAGAAAGAGGATGAGGAGGAGGATGACGATGACGAGACGGAGGAGGAGGAGGAGGAGGCGGAGGAGGAGGAGGAGGAGGGAGGGCGGGAGAAAGAGGATGAGGAGGAGGAGGATGACGATGATGATGATGATGAGGAGGAGGAGGAGGAGGAAGAGGAGGCGGAGGAGGAGGAAGAGGAGGTGGAGGAGGAGGAGGAGGGAGGAGGAGGAGGATAAGGAGGAGGAGGAGGAGAAGGAGGAGGAAGCAGGAAGGAGGAGCGTCCTCGAGTGAGCTGGCCACCAAGATCCGCGTGGCACAGGGCACCGCCCGCGAGCTATGGCGGTCATCCGACGACCACGGCAGTCGCCGAGTGCGACTCGAAGCGGCCTGCAACACAGGATGCGCTGGGCCTCTGCTTCCAGGAGGTAAAGGGATAAGCAGGATAACGGAACAGAAAGCAGCATAATCAAAATTCGCAGAGGTCGGCGCGGATTTCTTGGATCGGCGCTGGGTCCCCTCTTCCTTGGCATGAGGGCCCAGCGCCGATCCAAGACATCCGCGCGGAGCTCCGAGATCTTATGTCTACGCAGTGTTATGTTCCTTTGCAAAACCACTGCTATGGTTAGGTCGGGCATGTCCTTCTACATGCGTATTTTGGAAGACGGCAAAATATAGTCAAAACAAAATCATGAATAACCAGAAAGAACACGACACATCGTCACCATACAATGTTTACCATTCTTGGTATTTCCTGCTGTAGGGCTACATACCCAACTCAAAGCTGTGGTGGCACTTCGTCACCTCGGCGGTGGCGTGATCCCACAGGCCAGTGCCGTGGTGGCCTTGCGTCGGGTCTGGGCGTAATGGCGCGGGGCACACCAATTGCGCATAGAATTCTGCATGTAGTCCCTGTGCTCTCTCTCTCTCTCTCTCTCTACGTCTCTCCCTATGTCTCTTTTATCCACCCTCCCTTTTCATTCCGCCCCTCCCTCTGTCCGTGTCTATATGTTCATCTGCATATGCATGTATCCCTCTCCCTTCCTCCGTCCTCACAATGTTTGTCCCTGGCTGCCCCCTCTCTCGATATATATATATTATATATATATATATATATATATATATATATATATATATATATATACACAGAGAGAGCATTGCCCCCACCTTCTCGCCACCGACGTACGCGTGTTTCAGCTTCCCCCCGTGGAAGCCGACACACACGCCACCCTGGGCATTTCAATGCAAATGCTCCGAACCTGCTCGGACTACCACGAGCGTGTCTGCCTCTCCCCTCCTCCGTAGTGAAGGAAAGACGAACTTGAACAACAAATGAAACGCCCCCCCCCCCGCTGCCAGTCTCCCCGCTGCGCGCCTGAGCAGCTTTCTTGGATCCATCGCCAGGGAGGCTGCGCCATGCGCACGTTCACCGACAACCTTCGCCACTGCCCCACTGCTGGCGGCAACCGTTTCTATTGTTCCTCCTCCTCTTCCTCCTCCTCCTCCTCCTCCTCCTCCTCCTCCTCCTCCCTCCCATTCGCCTTTCCCCACGACCTCTGCAACAAATCCGTGCCAACGCGATGTCGGCCACGCGCGCGGCCAGCAGAAAATAAAACGTGCAGAGGCTTGCGGCAAAAACGCCCGCCCCGGCCCGACTCCCGACAGCCGCCCAAGCGGCCATCCCAAGCCGAGCACAACCAGAGGAGGCCAGATGACGCCACGCGCCGTCATGTCCTGCTCATCCTACTCTAGTTAAATGATTATCCAACGTTGAACGCCGCCGAACATCAGGTCACACCAAATATCCTGGCCGACGACGCCGGGTGATCACTACCGCGCAATCTGACGCAGCGCGGGAAGCTCCGAAGCCGAGGCGGCGCGCCGCTGCTCTGGGCAGATGGGCAAGGGGGGAAGTGGCGCAGAAGGGGCAAGGGAACGGTGGTGATGGGGGAGACCTCGATCAGACGTGCGCGCGCCCTCAGATCTGACCGCTCCTGAAAGGGGCCAACCTGCCACGAGGACCGCTGGCCTCTGGCCATCGCGCATCACTCCCAGCAGACTCTCGACCTTCGTGGCCTTGGGGGGCTCCACACAAAGGTGCAACCACGCGCCGTCCAGGTCGTCCGCGTCCTTGCGCCCAGCGTCGACAATGACTCCGTGGTGCATGGTCTGGCCTGGCATGCCGTGGGCGTCAGGACCGCAACGACCCCCCGCCGGGACAGTGTAGAGACCGGCCCTCGCGGCCGCGGCCAAGAGCCTCTGCCTGGAGGCCTTCCCGCGAGAGTGGCGCGGGCACCTCTCGGTGCAGCGCCCCGACTCTGGAAGGTGCGCAGGTCATTGGCCATGGCATCCATTTCAAACATTCGGCAAAGTAGTGTCGGTGAAGGCGAGACCGGCCGAGACCGTCGTCAAGGCCTTCGCCGCGAAGGCCTTCAAGGACGAGTTCTGAAGGCGTCGTTGTGCAGAACGCTGGCGGAAGAGGTCCAGACCGAAGCAGCGCCAAATGACCTCCGATGAAACCTCCACGATGAGACGTTTAGGCGTTACCCTCCAGAGCGGATGACATTGACTTCCATAGTGGAAGTTCGGCAAGTCTGAGGGGGTGGGCCTCCTGGGACGGCCTCATCATACCTGCGCAAGGCCGCGCTTGTGCACGCTCTGACCCTTCATGACGCCTTGGGCTCCTGTATCAAGATTGCAATTCTCAGTTTCTCCGCGATGACGGAATTGATGATGATCATTCGTGCAGCGGCGTCCTCCAAGAATGGAGATTTGCTCGGAGAACAGCACCAACGGAAAAAAGGGCGCTCTTCAGCTCATCCTCGAGGGTCGCCAGGTGCACGCGTTCCGACCACCATTGCCTCTTGCGCAGCTGCAACTTCCAGGCCGTCAACAGTTGATCCAAGGCGTGCGACCGATTAGCTATTCACTGCTCCGCCACCTGGTTCGCCTCTTTGGCTTCTCGGACCTGCCTCCTTCATACGCCCGGAAACTTATCACTCTGCTCGTACTGCGCGCAAGCCTGGACCGAGCCTCGCCAGCGTAGCGCGATGGACTGCCCGATGCACCGAGTCACCCGCGAGGAGGCGGACTGGAGCCAGAAAAGAAACTTTTTCGTCGGCAGCGAGGCGGGACAATCCGCTCCAGCGTGGCAGCGATGCAGTGGCACTACACAGCGAAGTGGCCGGCACGCAGGAGGAGTAGGAGGGAAAAGGAAGTGCAGGGCGGCCACCAGAAAGGGAACAGAAGAGAGGGAGAGGGAGGGAGGGGAGGAGGGAGGAGGCACTTCGGGGGGAGTGGGTGGGAATGGGAGCAGCGTCGGGGCGCGGGGGAGCAGCAGTAGGAACGAGGAGAAAGACGTGGGTGAGGGGAAGCATGTCCAGGACTAGCAGCAGGACCAGGAGGAGCGGAGCAGCAGGAGGAGCAGGAATCCCCAGCATGGGGCCAAGGAAGAGGAGGGGCAAACATGTGTATACGGTACAAAAGTCAATACGTAAACATAGAGAGAGAGAGAGAGAAAGAGAGAAAAAAAAACTGACAAAAGGGGGTGTATATATAGAGAGAGAGAGAGAGTGAGAGAGAGAGAGAGCGAGAAAAAGGAATACATAACAAACAAATAAAGAACGACATAACAGACAAACAAAGAAAGATATACCTAGAGAGGCCTGGAGTGAGGTAGATGAACATAAGGAGACCAAGAGAGGGACAGAAAAAGACCCAGAGATAAAGAGACAGAGAGAGAGAGAAACACAAAAAGAGAGACGTGCATTGGAAATGGGGAGCGGGAGGACTGGAAGGGGATGGGAGGGGGCGAAGAGGAGGAGGGGAAGGCGATGGGGAGGGGTTCTTGCCATGGTAGTCTGAGGGGGGTGGAGAAGGAGGAAGGACACGGGGCTGGGGAGAAGACGTGTCCACTGCTATGTTTGTGGATTTCGTGTCCTTGAGGGGGGGCAGGCGGGACCTTCCAGCAGCTAGAGCCCAGCGAGAGCTTCACTACAACCCTCGTCAAAATTAATCTCAAAAATGTCTTACGTGGCTGAACTGTTTGTGGGGAAATACTGGACAGAGTAGTGGTGACTGCGAGGTACTTGTATGCGCCGCCCCTCCAATTTCGGTCACCATCGAACTTCCGAGTCGTTCCTGGTCAGACCACTTTCACCCTGGCCCCTACATTTGAGGGGCGTCTATCGACATTGAAGGGCGCGCTCACATCGCAGGGGCGTGGCTGCCATTCTTGAGGTTAATCTTGACGAGGGTGCCAGAAGAACCACAAAAAACGCCAGAAGCCTAAACGGTTGGCGCTCCGCACGGATTTCTTGGACATCTGCGCCGGCCACCGCAGGCAGCGCGGGGCGTGTCGAGGCCGCCCCTGGACCATGGTGACTGCCCCCAAGGCCTGGCGAGCACGCTCCCCCGGGGACAGGCGAGCGCGCCCCACGAGCCGCAAGGAGGAACTGCTCGCAACTGGCCTGGCTCCCCCCGCAGGGGATCTACGCCAAAGTGAGCGTTTGTTTATATTCGGCGTTTCGACATTGGGCGGAAGGGGGGGACAGGGAGGGGGGGGGGGGTCTGGCTCCAGACCTATGCTGAACGCGACTGCGTCCTAATTACGGGGGGGACTCCACCTGCTCGAAGCAGGCGCCAAAAACAGCCAAGATCTACTCCACAGGGGAGGGGGAGGAGGGGGGGGTGCGAGGGCCCGCGCCGATCGGCAAAACAGTGAATAAAACAACGATCACAAATTACATCGAAGCAGACCTGTGCTTTTCGGACGTTTGCGAACAGGCACTTTGCGAGCAGTGGAATGCGCTCGGTGAAGGGAGCCGCGCGAGGCGAGCCTGGGGCTGCCCGCGGCGGGGCTGCCTGCGTTGCGCTGAGGAGCATCGGCGGCGGGCGCCGGGGGGGGACTTCGAGGTTTGAACTTCGAGGTCCTAGGTTTTCGGGCGTTTTCGTCGGGTCTCGGCGGACTGCTTGCCAGCGGCAGCGCCTCGCCGAGAGCGCTCCGGGGGTGCCGGGATCGTCCCGAACGGCCGCCGGAGACCCGAGTTATGACCCAAAAACCACATTCGGCGGCGGGCGAAGGGGGGCCGTGTTCGAGCCCTGGGACCCCCAGAACTCGATCCGGGGTGAAAAGCCGCGTCGGATGGACCCCGGGAGGGGCTGGGGACCGACTTTGACCGATAGTCGGCAGCGCACCCAGGGGCGGGGGGGGGCATGAGAAGGAGAAGGCTTTCTCAGAAGGCGGCGGGGCTTCTCAGAGGCGCTCCGGCCTTCCGGGAAGTCTTAGCTGCATCCTCGGGGAAGGTCCAGAAGACTTCTCAGAAGGGACTACCTACCAGACCACCCCAGCCTAACCCGAGGACCCAAGCTTCGGGTTGGGGAGACACACAGGTTCCACACGTGTTTTGTTCGATGTTCCCCGACCCCCCCAATTGGAGATCGAGGGTAAATTTGGGCCTTCGGGTTGGGTTGGGATGGTTTAGTGGGTGGTGAAGAAGAGCGGGGGACTTCCGAGCCTTCTGAGAAGGACTGCTCCTTCTCACTTCTCCCTCGGGCTCGCCGCCGAGACCAGGCGTGGGCGCCGCCAGACACATGAGCAAGGCCACCCAGTCCACGAGGCCAGCCTCGTGCTGCGAGCCTTTGCGCAGGACGTGCTCTCGAAGCCCACGACAGTTCGTGTGCGCGCGCGTCTTTCTTCCGCTCCTGACTGTGCGCACTCCCTTCGGCGGTGGACAAACCTCCATTAAAAAACAACACCCTTTTGTGAAAACGGCCTAGAACCCAAACCGACGGACCTGGACCCGCAAAAATGACAGCCGCGACGCCCTCTCGCGAACCGAAAACGGCCAATTCGCTGATCGGCGTGTCAGAGTAGGAAGTCTACTAATCTCCGACCCCTGTGGTTTGGACGCCCGAAATGCATCCGGAAAAAATTGGTACGATGCCCAACAAGTGGTGCTCCGAACCGACTGCGGCCGAACGATTCACATTTTTCGGATCCCTTGCGTTGCGCTGCTGTACATTGATTGTCTTGCATTGCGTTGTTCGCTTTCACATTGCAATGCAATGCTGTGAATTGTCATCGTCCCTACTCATCTGCAGTTTTGTTCCATATCTTCGTTGGATGTGTGCGCGTTCCCCGGCTCACAGTGGACAAGAGCTGCTGCCGGCCCTCGCCGCCATTCTCTCCGTGCCCGTGTCGATCCTCCAGAGAGGTAGAAGAGCCCAGAATCGAATCGACAAGTGGGATCGGCGATCCAAATTAATCGGATCGGCGGAAATCGGCAGCCGAGTCGGGAAAAGTCGAATCGACGGAAATCGGCAGCCTACAGTAAGCC